TCGTTTTAGAAATTATAAATGATCTTGCGTATCGAATCAACTGAGAGATATATACCCCGTATGCAGGTGATGAAGGTATATTGCTGCATAAGTAAGGGAAGTTGACGATTGAAAAGTTAAAGTCATCACGTTTATCATAAAGCTTGGTTGTTAGATTACCATTAACGTCTTTTTCAAGTAAAATATCCAAATATGAAACAGATGTGTCAGACTCTGTGGTATCTTTTATCTCAAGTTCACCAGGATATATCGTATCGACATAAGAATGAAAATAGCCATTGTTAATTGACAGTATGTCGTCGATATATCTAAATGTCGAGTTGAACGCCACAGCAAGTGTTTTCTTCTTTTCACGTACAAGATTTTGGACAAATTCTGCTTCATATGAATACAAAAAAAAGGTCTGCTAATAACGGGGCGCAATTGGTACCCATAGCAATTCCAATAGATTGTTGGAAGACCTGTTCTCCAAAAACCACATAGATATTGTCAATCAGAAACTCAAGCATTTTTTTAATGTCAACTTCAGAGTACTTCCGGAAACGGAATACCAAAAAGTAGAATAGATTTTGTATTTTTGTCAAAACATTTTGAGTTAGATATGTCAAAAGTCTTTATAAGAAAAGCTCCTAATACGCAAGGTAATAGAAGTTCAGATCATCTTTCGATTAGATTAAATCTTTCAATGAATAAAGAAAAAAGAGGTCAAGGTTATTGGAAACTAAATACCTCGCTATTAATCGACTCCAATTATACTACCGAATTAAGACAATTGATAAGAGATAAACAACAGGAATTAGAGAGTGTAACTGATCATCAAATAAGATGGGAAAAGGTCAAATCTATTACTAAAGACTTTTCAATAAATTTTTCAAAACAAAAAAGTCTCAATAGAAAACAAAGAATATCAGAAATAGAAAAGGAAATAGAAAAAATTGAAATGTCACCGTACTACTTAATAGATATGAGAAGGAAAAACGTTCTTGAAGCAGAATTGGACGAAATTTATGCTAAAACTACTAAAGGTGCATTTATTAGATCTAAAGCAAATTGGATAGAAAATGGGGAAAGAAACACATCATACTTTTTAAGATTAGAAAGAAAAAATCAATCCTCAAATACAATACATGAAGTTAAAAAAGAAAATAAATTATTAACAAAAACTGAAGATATTATGGATTCACTTTGTAATTTTTATGAAAACCTATACTCAACAAATCATGTCCGAGTAGAAAATATAAAAGAATATTTAGAAGATTGTGAATGTCCTAAATTAACTAATCAAGAAAGAGAGATGTGTGATGAGCTTCCCACGATTTCTGAATGTGCGCAGGCCATAAAACAGATGAAAAATAACAAATCTCCTGGTTCTGATGGGTTACCTGTCGAATTCTATAAAATATTTTGGAGCGACATTAAAAAATATTTTTATGAATCACTAACTAAAACATTTGAAAAAGAAGAAATGACTTTTTCGCAAAAATTATCAATTATTTCATTGATACACAAAAAAGGAGAAAAGAATGACCTCAGAAATTATAGACCTATTAGTCTAACAAATTGTGAGAACAAAATTTTATATATATTCCTAAGCATTTTACGGCTAATCTAGAAAATTGTCTGAAATTGAATATAAAATGGAAAAATATTGTATTAGGATTTTTCTATGAAGAAAACAAAACTACTGTTTCACTCAATTATTTATTATCTTACATAGCATTTTTTATATATAAGATAAAAATGAAGCTAAGATATGAAAACAAAGAAGAAAATATGAATGATATTATATACTATGTAAAGACAAACCTAATGTATCAATATGAGACCTATAAAAGATTGGATGTTAACTTTACATATAAATGGTTTTATGATATTTCTTTAGCTTTGTAATAATAATAATATAGTCTGAATATCTGAAGGGGTCTGTCCTTCAGTAGTGCTGCCATGTTGGGGTACCTAATTATTGACTCTGTAAGATGAAGGATGTGCCCCACTGGCAGCGAGACTTAATTCTCTAGAAATCAATTATTAATTCTAACAAATATTTGTATATTTATATATATATATATATATATATCTAAGAAAATGAAATTATACAGATTTAAAAAAAATATTAAAAAAAAAAAAAAAAAAAAAAAAAAAAAAAAAAAAAAAAAAAAAACTTCAGAGTACTTGTGTGTACAATCGGAATGTTTTTTAACAAAATAATTTTGCAAATGACCAATGACAAGGTAAGTATATTTACGAGTTCCAGTTTTATTGAAAAAGCAGCTGTCAATGATATCAAAAAGCCTGGACTTAAATTTATCGTGGGGAATGGTTGTGTAAAAAGTTGAAAAGTCGTAAGTTTTTAAGCTGTTGATTTTGGTAAAATCTTGTGATTTCAAATTTTCCAAAAGTTCCTTGGAATTTTTAAGTATCCACATCTGATTTACACCACTTCTCGAATATAGTGTTGTACAGTACTCTTGAAGTTTCTCCTTCACCACTGTTAATATCTTAGTGAGGAGTAAAGATAGAGGCTTGGTTGAACATTTACTGGAACCCGCTATGTATCTTTCTTTGTAAGGATTTTTATGAAGTTTCGGAATCCAATATAAATATGGTAATTCGAATTCATTTTGGTTGTTTGGAATATTAAAAAATATTCAAAACTGACATATGATTTTGAAGAATTTCTTCCTTAGAAAGGGAACTATGAGTATAAGTTGGATTACCACTTGTAGAATTAAATCCAAGTTCCTCTAAAATACATTTAATATAATGAGCCTTACAAACAAAGACAATGTTGTTACCTGCTTTGTCAGCAGGGACCAGTACGTACTGATCATGTAATCTATCTAATTCTTTTTTCACTTCTGGATTATTGAATACAGAAGGATAGATGGTTTTCATATTACCTCTCAATCTTTTAATGCGCGATTTTAACATACATCTGATACATTTAATCCATTCTGACAAAGTGTCAAGGTCTTCTTTTTCATGTCTGGCCCATCGCCTGGCGTAGTCCTCTACAGAATCCATAATATGAAATTCTTACGCCAGTTGAAGGATCTGGGTTCCCTAAATTTAGGACCTTTTAAAATTAGTGATCTAAGATCCTCATTATTAACTATATTTACGTCACCAGTAATAACGTGTCCAGCAGGACTATAGTTATAGGGCGAAAAAGAACATGAACACGATGGAGGATTATGTTTCAGATATTCGATATCCAGGCCCTGTAAAGTTTTCTTGTAATTAAAAAGTTTGGAAGCAATAGTCGATGTATATTTGTAGGAAATACAAGGTGTAGTCTTGAAATATGGTTGAATACAAGACTGGACCTTTTTGTGATTAAGGATATTACTTATATTAACCGCGTCAATTCCTTTGTTAGCATATTGAAGTTTAAGGAAAAAACGGATTGTTTTAGCTGCATTTTCTTCAGTAAAACGCGAGGGTTTAAAAAGCCTATGAATGGCAATATCCATAACTACAGATCCGAGCCTATATTCTGGTGTCGAGGAATCAAAAAATGGACTTTCCTTGACCTTTTCAAGAAGACTATTAAAAGTTTCAAAGGGACAGAGTAAAGTTTGGTGCGAATATGATGTAACCCTAACTGTTGATTTACATAAGGTAGTAATGAATCAAAAGAGACATCGTGTATCAAAAGTTGTAAGACCGATGCCCATGACTACGCTTACGTCTCTGTGTATGGTTAAAAAGTCCCATCACATTTACATTGTTACACTGTGGACTGGAAAGATTTCCAACACTATCGACATTGTCATTACATCCATAGGGAAAGGCTGTCCCTAGCTTTCTGATCCAAAATTCTTCTCGTTGTCTACGGAAAGGTGTACTCAGTGATGGACTGTTTGTGTGGTGGTAAATCTTTTCCAGAATTCTAACTTTCATTGACAAAATAGAATGATCAGGTAAATTAAAATGTTTGTATAAAAGTTGCTGACCCCCATTATCTATCTGAAATCTATGACCTGATGTTCTTTTATTGAGTGATCCCTTGGTTTCACCAACATAAATAAGTCCACAAAGATTACATTCTATTCCGTAGACAACATTAGAAGATTTGCAGTTCAGATTTTTCCAAGTTTTGGTACAGAAGCTCTGTCCAGTAAGATTACTGGTGAAAGAAGTGTTAGTTATCAAAATGTCACAGGTTTTACGGTTTTTCGCAGAACATTTTGAAATAGAAGACATGGGATCGGAAAAGGAGTCTTCGAATATATCTCTAATAGAAACTTTACATTCTTTCAATTGTTTGTATGAACTATTGGTTTTATACCAAAACTGGGAATCTGAAGACTGTACATATGACATATGTTTAATATCCCTGAGGATTATCCGAGGGGCACCGAATGAACTCCTTGAGTCTGTGTCCCTTATAGACTCAAAAGAGTGACGCCTTTTTATACTGGGCGAAGCATCTGCCAGTATCATTTCGTTATTCTGTGTACTCATGAATGAATAGGTACCGAACGACAAGTATCCTCGGGGACAGACTGTCCACCAGCAGAGATACATGTTCGGTGGTTAAAATGAAATATATGGAGATAACGAACAGTATTCAAGCTCAAAAGTCCATTATACAATACAAAATAGGAGCAGAGCAAACACGGACCTCCAAACATCAGAGGTGGGATCGGGTGCCATGGAGGAGTGAGCATCCCCTGCCGACCGGTCATACCCGCCGTGTGCTCCTTGTCATGATCGGGAAATAACGGGAAAATCCGTCGACAATTCAGTGTGTTGCGATGCTGCTCAAAGTAAATAGACATATGCATGTTTATAATTTCACCGAAACTTATTTAATTATTCTATGAATTAGAAATTTTGTACATTTGTTTTATTTGATTTTTATAAAATATTGACGAATTTCCCTGAATTTTTCACTGTCCCTTGTGAAGTAAAAGCAAATGTCTCAATAATTTCCTAACATTCCTCGTATTTTATAGTTCTAAGTACATTTATCAAATCAGATATTCTCTTTTCAGGTGCTAGAAAAGCAATGGAATTTTTTGTGGAAGGACGATCAATCCATGGAAGAAAGTTCTTAGAGAGTTTTTGCATGTCAATTCGAAAAGAAAGCCATCTCATTTTTTTGGATTAATATTAATTGATATTTCACCTAAAACCTAGATGACTTCATGCAGTGAAAGTGCTTGTTAGAAATGTCAAATCAAAATATAAATCACTCTAAATAAAAAGAGTAACTACACGTTTATTACTTTTACTTAGTCATTTCCTTTTTTTTAGTTCCTCACTAGAATTAAAACGAAACACTCATGTTGAACATTTCACATGCATTTCTCGACCTATTTGTTGAATTCATAACACAGGTCTTTATAAAAAAAAAAAAATAACCGTCCTCAATAATTATTTTATTCACAATAAGTTTGATAACGAAACACCTTATACTGAATGAATCTCATAAGAACAGTATTCTGCACCGTTACTACAGTACCGACCAGACACAACCTAACAGAAAGCGAACCCAGAGCGCACCCTGGGTTCGCTCTCTGGGTTCGCTTCGGGTTCGCTTGGGGTCCGCTAGTGCTGACCCCGAGCGAACCCGGAGCGCATCCGTAGCGAACCCGCAGCGAACCCAGAGCGGACCCAGAGAGAACGCTGAAAGCGAACGCGCGTTCGGTATTGCGTAACAGAGCTGTCAATCAGGATTAGCGATTAACTCATCAGCGCGTCGACCAATCAACATGCCGAACAGGTCTGTCAACCAGGATAAGTAATAAAATGCGTAGAACATCAGCGCATCGACCAGTCATCATTCCAGTTTGTTTGTTTGTTTGTTTGTATATTGTTTAACGTCCCTCTCGAGAATTTTTCACTCATATGGAGACGCCACCACTTGCCGGTGGAGAGCTGCAAATTTTGTCCTATACTCGGCACTTACGGCCATTGAGCAGTGAGGGATCTTTTTCGTGCCAGCACCTACTGCGACACGGGACCTCGGTTTATACGGTCTCATCCGAAGGACCGGTCTCCACGTCCCACAGTGGGATTCGAACCCGCGACGTAAGGATCAACTCCTTACTTCGCGACTCTAGAGCAGACGCTCTAACCACTGCGCCACGCGGACGACCATTCCAGTTTGTAATCTAAACATTGTTCAAGCAAAGCGTGTGAATGTACAGTGTAAAAATATTAATATGATTTTTAAACATGATTTTATATTTATATATTTTAATTCTCCAGACAACATGCAATATTTACACATCTATTTTCATTATTTTTTATTTTTAAAATCTATTAATACATTATATATTTTTATTATCCAGGTAGCATGTTACATGTATAATTACATATTTATTTTCTTTATATTTTTAAAATCCATTAATATATAAATATACATTGCGTAAATTTATCAGACAATAAGTACTTTAATTCATAATAGAAAAAAAGAGATAATAATGGTTATAACAATTGTTACTAAAAAAAAAAATTAAAAAAAAAACTGGTCTTCGATAGATTAAAGAATTTTATTATCTCAAGATACAATATAAGAACATGTACGTACTTTAATCTAATTATTTTTTATTTATTATTTCAATTTACATGCACGTTTTAATTTATCCTAATCAACATCGAAATTAGCGATCTTAATAATTGATCATGAAAAAAAAATTAAATGTACATTATGCAGTATAAATATGCATTATGTCAATACGTAAATTGGAGGGAAAAAAAATCTCATTTTTTTTAACTACTATGATATTTTTTAATTAATCTTTTACCAAAAGTAATCAAAAGTAAACCCCCGTGTCGGTAATCATCCACCTGTTTCGGAGATATTGCGGGTGCTAAGAGCAAATGCAGTGGGTTTTTTTTTTTTAATTAACACTTGCTAGTTGGATGTATACTGTCTCCATGGTCACGGTATACCTGAGTATATACTCCCCCTACATTCGATGCCCCTAAAGTTACATGTACCTCGTCTGGGCACGTTATTAATGAGAAATTCTTTCTTTCTTTCTTTTTTTTTTTTTTTTTTTTTTTTTTTTTTTTTGATTTTTGGAATTTGGAAACGTCATAGTTCTTTGGTACGTTGCAGAAAGAGTACATGTTCATGTAATTTGCTGCTACCTAATGCTGAAAATCAGTAAAATATCTCTACGAGAGAGAGAGAACGCTGTATATTATTTGAAATTAAAATCGCTACAACCGGCCCATAGAAAACAATTCGAGTACGGAGAGGGGCTCATCGAAATAAAAAAAATAAAATTAAAAAACTAAACATCGGGAGTTATTATCTTAATTTCATCTACTTAATCATGCGAGTTTACAGATATTGAATTCCTGTTTTGTTTGTTTTATATCTTGTTTTTATTTATTTTTAAACATTAAGAATTTTGTTTGTTAACATGCCGCTTCAGTATGTATGTAGTGGGGGGGTCATGAACCAGTAAGGAACACAAACTATTCAAATGATCATTTACATGTATTTGAAAAACAACTTAAAAAACATAATATATTCTTATCAGTGGACCAGTTATTAGTTTTTGTTTGTTTGTTTGTTTTGGTTTTTTGATTGTTATTGTTGTTGTTTTTTACAAGGCTTCCGTTAAACTCGCCTTATAAAACAATAATTTATAGCATGGAAGTAAATTATAAATGATCTGTAAAATGAAACTCAAGTTACAGTGTATGAGAATTTTTAGTGATTATCACGACCTACATATACATGTAATGGAAGCTTAAATGTAAACTGCTAAATATGAAAACTTAGCATTTTACGTGTACAGTATGTCTCAGCTATTTCATAGATAAGATCATAATTCAGTTGTTTGTCTTTCAAACATTTAAATTACGATTTAGCAATAGCAATTACAATTGGAAGTTCCAACTTATTTTAAAACGCATTAATAATGTAAACAAATGAATTTGAAAGCTTTTTTTATTAAGATACTCTCATCAATTTCACTCCATCCGATACATCGAAAATAAATTTAACACCTTTTCTTCTTTTTCTTTCGAGATATAGCTTGTAAGTTAAGAAAAATAAAAGTGATAATTCTACGTCGAATGTACGGTGAAATTCTTGAAAATTTATCAACGTTCTCCATATTGTCACTTGCATGTACATGTTTCGATCGCCATAAAAACAGTAATGATCGATTTCACTACTGTATTTGGAAAATACAAGGGGCGGGGCTTACTGGCGGCAAGATTAAAGCGGGGTCCGTTTCACGCATGAGTGCGTAAAGCGAACCCGGGAAGCGAACGCCGGGTTCGCTCTAGCGGACCCAGAGCTGACCCCGAGCGAACGCAGAGCGAACCCGAAGCGCACCCAGAGCGGTCCCAAATTTTCTGAAAGCGAACCCGCAGCGGACCCCGAGCGAACCCAGGAAGCGAACCCTGGGTGCGCTTTGGGTTCGCTCTGGTGTTAAGTTGTGTCCGGTCGGTACTGTACGCCTTATAACTATATAATTGATCTTTTTTTATTTTTTTTTATTTTTTTTATTTTTATTATCCGTTGTATATATCTGTTTGCAATAGATTATAATATTTTTTTATTTATTTTTTTTATTTTTTTTATTTTTTTATTTTTTGATAGAATGACAATAATATAATGATGGAATATTACGCAGTACTTTTGTGTTTAAGGGTACAGGTCTAATTTACAGGGAAATCTTCACTTTTACATCATACATCAGTGGTAATAGTTCTTAGAAATTTTAGAAAATGAAATTCTTGGAAATAACAAACTGTATTTCCTTAGTAAACTACATTAAAAAATTATCACGTCTTAAAATTGTGTTAATTGTTGAATCCAAAACAACCTCGAATGAGGTTTTACTACCTGATCGCAAATTACTTGTCCATATGACATCAACATGGTAAAATGTGTTCATTTTATGTGCAGTGAAAAGCAGAATAATTACATGTAATCCTTCTACAGTGGAAATATATTTTATTATCAAATAAAATATAAAAATTATTATCAAATAAAATATTGGCAGATATTTAATAGATCATCAGATTAAGTGCATGCATTTGAATTTCATTTTTTTTAACTTTCTCCAAGTAGAAACTATTTCACAGATTTCATTACGCAAACATAAACTGAAACAAATTATTTCTGTTGGAGATTAAGAGGTTCGTGAAATATACCAAATTTTGACTGTGCAATTATTTACAAAGATGTAGGTGTCAATTTAGTTTGAATTTAATAAGAAACAGATTTTTTTTAAAAATCTTTCATACAGAAACATGGATTACCTCATTGTTATGATTTTATTAAATCTGATTAAGGGATGTCAAAAGCAAAATATACAGAATCACTTGTATATTTTCATCATTTTTGTCAATTTTTTCTTGTCAAAAATAAGCAAATGAAATTTTTTCCCCTTAATATATATATTTTTTTTACTTTTGACAATATTGTTGTTTTCGTCAAATTGAATATAAAAAACAGCTTCTTTCAAAAACTTATACTAAACGCCAGATTGACTTATTAAACATTCTACAATTTATTGAACATTTCAGAGGTTATCAGGTCAAATTGTTAGATACATATTTGCATTCCTTTTGGAATTCAGATGACATTTTTTGTAGGTTAAAAGAAATTGCTATGTTAAACCTAAAAAATATTTCAGATTTTTGTTGAAGTGAAAGGGGGGATTGCGTTTATTTAAACTTTTTCTGTGCCCTCACCATCAGTAACCAATTTCAACCTATTTTGTTAACTTACTCTCAGCAAAAAATATGTATGATTTCATGACTATTATACTTGTTAAAATAAGGTAAAAAACCGTTATGTTTTGTCGAACTTCCAAAACATAGTCACTGATTCACAGATGTGTAATGCATGTTCTCAGGCAAATCTTTCATCATCAATGGAATGATGAGTAACTTAAACAATATGATGAAATTTTAGTCCAGATTAAATTAATATTTAAGCAAATTATTTCTAGTTGCATCTAGTTAGACATATGATCCAAACATATGTGGGATATTGAATTTTTAGCCTCTACTGGTTTTCTAACCCATTTTTTTTTTTCTGGAATACAGTAAGGTGTATCTAACATTACATTCATTAAATTGACAGACTAAACCTGATTATTTGTATAGAGAATCTTGTTTTCATTACCAAAGTAAATTTAACATGTATCTAACATTGCAATACAAAAATGTCAGTGATGGATTGACATTTTCAATTGTCAAAATAAAGAGCTTCCGCTACGTTGACGTAAGTTCAGACGTC